CCCCCCCCCCCCCCCCCCCCCCCCCCCCCCCCTTCAAGTTCCCGTTCACTCTCCGGCCGTCCTCACCGAACGACACGACCAGGATCGTCCCGGACCTGCTCTCAGACCTACCCCACGGGATCAGCCCCGCGGGCCGTAGCCCGGTCGCGATCCCGCTCCCGCCTGCCCCGCGCGCCACGCCGGCGCCGGCGGTGCATCCGGCTTAGCTCGCGATGAGGCAGGGCGCTGTCGTTCCGGCGACGCGGATGGGTCCGGCTGCCGCGACGTTGGCGCTGAGTACGACGAGGCCCGCGTTTGCGTCGGTACCGACCCCGGTCGTACCCGGAGGCTCGGCGGCACAGATGCGGGCGGCGTCTGCGTCTGCGTCTGCGTCCGTATCGAGCGCGGCGGTTCGGGCTCGTTTGGCGGTGGCGTCGTCGCCGAGTGCGGTCACGCCCGCGTCTGCACCGGGCGTGGCGGTCAAGCCGGCGTCGACGCCGGGCGCGGGGACGAAGAACACCGCCGCTTCGATCGCGGCGTCCCCATCGAAGGCTGCTACCACCGCGTCGGCCGGGTCGGCGGCGGCGCAGACCGGCTCGGATCCGGATTCGAAGGCCGCGACGTCGACGAATGCACGGGCCGCACCGGTAGCGGCGGGGCAGAGGACCGCGACGGCCGCGAGGTCCGTTCCGACACCGCCTGCGGCGGCGACAGCTGGAGTCCCTCCGACGCCGAAGCCGTCGCTGGCAGCCCCGCCGCCATCGCCGTCCAAGCCCACGACGATCGTCGTCGCGCCAGCTTCGAATAAAGTAGGGACGAAGGCCGCCGCGTCGTCCAGCGCACCTCTGTCTCCTCCCCCGACACCCGTCATCTCCGAGGCGTCCGGGCCGAATGTGACAGGCCGTTCCCTGACGCGGACGGTCGCGTGTCAAGATCGATCGACTTCGTCCGCACCTGCCGCCACGCCCGCGCACGCTCGTCCTCCTGACGATCTCGATTCATCTCAGCCGCCCCCGAAACGCAGGAAAGTGTCGGATGACGAACCTATACAGAATGGCGTTGCCGAGCGCGGGAAGGAGGTCGAGGAGCAGCGGGCGCCCGCGGACGGCTTGCGACGAGAACTGGAGCGCGAACGCGCGGCGCACGCGCGGACGAGCGAGCGCACGGCCGCGCTCCGGGGCAGCGTCGATCGGTATCGCGCCGTCGTCGTTGCGATCGTCAGCGAGATCGGGCGCGTGCGAAGAATGTTGCCGGATCCCGAGGAGGAGGAGGAGGAGGAGGAGGAGGAGGAGGAGGCGGATTCTGGGGCGCGAGTGGATGAGCGGGCGCAGCCGTCGCCGTCGCCGCCGCCGGCCGACGCGGGAGAGGACCCGAACGCGAACGCGGCGGGAGTGGGTCCCTTGCTGAAGCTGTTTGCACGGATGGAGAAGCAGGTGGGTGCCGTCGTGCGCGCGGAGGCGCGGCACCGGGAGATGATTGCCGAGCTGCGGCGCGCGAAGGATGAGGCGGTGGAGGAGCGGCGCGCGAAGGAGGCCGAGATGTTAGAGGAGCGCGCGCGCCGGGTCGAAGTGGAAGATGCGTTGAGGGTTGAGCGCGAGAAGCGGGCTGTGGTGGAGGCTCGGCTCGGCGATGCTGTGGATGAATGTAAGGCGCCGTTCCTGGTGCCGGCGATGTTGGAGGCTTTCTTTCAGCTGTCAAAGATGACGTCGGAGGCGATGGATGTTGATGAAGTTGGCACTGGTGCTCTTAAGTAGGTTGAGCGATCGATGAATGCGCGCGTGGAGGGGGATGCTTGCACATGTGTCGCTTGCACGGCGGTCGACAATATACCATCACCTGCTTATACGGCGCGATCCCAATACCGGAACAGCTGGGCCCGATGCCTCGCACTAATTGCGAGTTGGGATACCCTGGTCTCCGCGAGAAGGACGCGCGACTCGGCTCCTGACGAGTTGTTTTCGCATCTATGGATCTGAATTATGAGTCCGTTGACCGGGATGACTTGGATAGCATCGCATATGCACTTGAGAGCGGTGCAAGAGCCGCGAAAGATGCATCTGTAAGTATCTGAGCCGATGGGCTGCTTACATTCATATCGGCATATGAAGCCTCCTGTTGGCCCTTCCAACTTATGGCCGTTGTGCAGATACGTTGATGATCAAGCTAGAGGTGACTGTAAAGGCATGATTATCTTGGCTTGCAGGTCGAGAGCCGATTTCCATGAGTCGGTATCGTACGTATCACACTTGGTTCGTTTCGAGAAAGCGAGGGCTTTGAGCACCGGCTCGCAGGAGAGCGCTGCAGCCGTATGAATTAAAGCAAGCAGAGACAAGTGCTTGGTAGGTAGGTAGGTAGATTGCCGACGAGGTCCCGGTAGCGGAACAGCCGGTTGCTGCGCTGCACGTACGCCACTCGTGCAGTCGACAGCGTGCCAAGCAGCTCGACGGTTTTCATGAGCTGATGAAGCTTGGGAGCCTAACCCTAAATGCGGTGGCCTTGCCACCTCAGTCACCCACTTGGAGTGACTATATTGGGTGGAATTTGCCTGTCACTAATTCCATCTAACATGGTACTGAAACCATGGTCCTGATCATTTTGGCCATCCATAATGGAAACTCCAGTCTATATGCCATATGGTTCTTCCATCACCTGTCCTGGTATCCACCATTTGCATGCTGTAAATGCTCATAATGGTGTGATGTGTATCCTGGGCATGTTGCAATGTACATGGCTGTTCATCAAGGCCAGCAGGCCCATTTTCCAGGCCCATTTGCACCCTCCCTGCTGCATTGGCCAAAAACTGCTGGTAGGAATGTGCAATAGTATGTATCCCTTGTTAGGAAATTGAGATAAGCTATCTACCTACCTGTAAGCCATATAGGCGGAAAATCAGTACTGACAAAT